TTGTTGCGACTTGAAAAGCTAAAAAAGTTTAAAAATTTCAGCGAATAACTCAGAATAAAGAACCAATTGAGGTATAGCCATTTTTCAAAGCTTCAAAGATTTAACTTCTTTCAGTGCAGTTTTATTCTCTCTATACTAAATAAAATTTATACGCTGATGTCATTAATTTATGCGTAGTTAAAACGTCGATCAAACGGTACAAATTTTAGTCATCAAGCACAACGATTCAAATAAGTCTGAAGAAGGCATCGTTTTAATGACTCAATAGGTCAATCTCTGTTTTGCTTTCTTGCCCCTCAAATTTTTTACAGAAACACACTGTTACATTTGGAAAAGTAAAATATTAATAATCCGAGTTTGGACTATAAAAACTCATTCTAAAATTAACCATAATTTGGTAACCATCACTATTTAATCATTATTTAACAGCATTATTCGTGAAAGCCATAAAATTATATCAAATGATGATAAAAAATGATCAGAGTATACTATGCTTTTCACTATCTGCGCGTCATCTTCTCTTCATTTTTTAATTACTTAATAGCGGTCTCAGCATACAACCTTTGAAAGCATAATACTTATCAAGTCATAGAGCTTTGCAAAATAGATGCAGAAAATTAACCTAAAATCTAGCTAAACTATTTCAAAATCGTTATAATTTTTTGAACTAGAATCAGTATTACTGCAATTAGTTCCAGTCTAAAAATTGTTGCTCACTTGGTTGGCAGCCTTCCTTCGCGACGGGCTAGAGCAAAAGACAAATTTAAAAAGGTAAATGTATAAAAATAAAGAATTAAATAAAATCAGATAATTGCAGTAATACTGATTCTAGTTCAAAAAATTATAACGATTTTGAAATAGTTTAGCTAGATTTTAGGTTAATTTTCTGCATCTATTTTGCAAAGCTCTATGACTTGATAAGTATTATGCTTTCAAAGGTTGTATGCTGAGACTGCTATTAAGTAATTAAAAAATGCCAAGTATCATTATTATCATTCGCATTGACTGTACAAGATACATCGTGTCATCTTTCTTTCAATTTATCGGTTCCTCTGCGACTCTTTCTCCACTTTTCTTGAGCTGCCATCTCTAAAAAAGTCTCGTTTCTGATTTTTTATTTTTGTCCCAATCAAACTGAATTTCACCAACGCAAGTTAGACTGCAGAGAAATTAAGAGAGTTATCGTACAAAACAAAGAGGAAGTGTGCTTCCAAAGTTGTAAATGAAGAGGCTGAAAGCCAAAATTTTAAAGTGTGTTCATCTAATTCAGCATTGGTAATCTCGAAGCTTTTGACTAGCGTGAGACTCTTTTTAAATTTAAACAAGTGCATGTTAAACTGGTTGTTTTAATTTTTTAGTCTATACGTATAATATAGCAGATTATTCCAGTCTAGAAGCGTTATAAATAACTGCATCTGTGCCTGGACTGCTCAGAGCACCAAGCAGATTTGCTCGTAACGACATTGTTGTAAGGTGACTACTTCCAATATTTATTACGCATAGAAATCGCGTAACATTTTTTTAATTTGTTTATGAGCCTATATAAACGAAATTGTTTTCTATATTTTGAAGTGAGATGTTATTTTAAGCCTCTGTCCAAAAGGGAATTGCTCGTGGTAGTGCGAGTAAGATTGATTTTTAAAACAAAGTTTCATTAAAGTGGCTTTTTTAAATGATTTTTTTTGCTGGCTCAAAAAAGATACATAATTTTGTAGATCTCTTTGGGTGCTTTGTCTTTTTAATGGAGCCACGAGATGCTGCTACCCTTCTGCCATTAATCAGGTAGTATGTTGTTCCAGGAACAACTATAGTGTCTGACCAGTG